GACTCAGGTGTGTGAGCGAGATATTAGTGGAGAAAGACTCAGGTGAGCGAGAGAATTACAAAACGCGACATCTATTAAGTGACGATGTCCCCAGAGAACACTAGGTCAACTTATTAATCCACCTCTGGCACCTGACATGTTTATAGTTTCACAGTTTGTTGGTTATAATTCTAGTCCAGTTATCCCGTAAATTATGTCTTCTCAGTAACACTTTTGGATTACAATCGGATGAATACAAACCAACCAAATAAAAGTTGAGACCTTTAATAACAAAAGGTACCTAAGTGGTAATTTTTACGATTAATAACAATTCTTGGAGTTTAGCTTATTATATATTTCTGTATATTTGATGAGGTCGACCTCTAGTGCACGACCCATAGCGTCGGAGAAGTGGATAAAAATGCTTTGAGGAAGAATATTTGGATTTCTTCCTAAACCCATTTGAATATTCATTCCACTTCCCCTACCACCCCAACTTTTCATGTTTTACCAATAGGTATATTTTATTACATAATGTGATACACAATATTTAAAAGATACAATGCTGGTACAAAGATGACATACATAGTATATGAGTTTTGAGGAATACATTACAACACTGTTTACCACAGATTACAATACGAAAATCTCATCCAGCTCCTCAGAGCTGGGACGAGTGCCCAAGATACAGGAAGCATTGCCACTCTGAACCTCAGCGCTGAATCGCTGGAATAGAAAACTAGCCCTGGTTACCCTGATGAGTGCATCTACGATCCTTAAGGATCTTAGATGCACATGGGTCACTGAGCCTATACCTGGAGCATACATGGAGAGAGTTACGGGGGTCATCGCCCCGGCGTTAGGCAAATTCTCTGTATATTCTAGACTTTTGTGCTCCCTGAAAATGTCAGCTTCAGGGAGGAAGGAAGGACAGCTGCCTATTCTTCCTTCAATGCGGATACACATGTGTAATCCCACACCACCTGCATGCCGTCTGTCCAGGCTTGAAGGGTGATGCCATGTTGACGCTTTTGGTTGCCATCAGATCTGTATAGTTGGGGTGGCTCCCTTACTGCTGAGCATCCGGCTGTTGTGTGGCTCCTCTTGATATTGTTATTAACCTCTTCAAGCCTTGCAATCTTTCCCTTGGATCAACGGCACACAAAACCATGGTAACCGAATCGGTCTGCCGATTCGCTGCCGCATATGTACATGTGTCCGGCGAAAATAGGGGCGGCAAATCGAAGGGCAACACCAGTGCAGATGGTCTGTGGGTTGAGGAGTGTGCCAAGGGAGAAATTGGGAACAGCCAACAGAATGAGGAGCTCTCACTTCAAGAGCCGGGCTCTATCCTTTCCTGACACACTCTGAAGCATTGTTGAGGCTATATTCTCCACTGTTGGGCAATGCCAGAGTGACTGTTTGTAGTTGTTGGGGGGTGGGGCAGGTCTGGTTTCAGAGCCGTTAGATTATCCCAGAGGGAAGCTCCATCAACAAACTTTTGGTCATGGACTCCATCCATGTCTCTAAGGTGTTCAGGGAGAATCGCTGCTACAATTCCACTGGATGCAACACATGAGGACAGGAAAGCAAGTGATGCCTTGCGGACACCAGTGTCTACTAGTCTAACTGGAAGTGTAGCTTGGTCCCACTGCTCTTCTTATAGAGTAAGGTTAAGTACATTCGTGAAAATATGCTTCAGGATACTGTCGTATTCGTGCAGTACAGGGTTATCGTATGAGGGTGCACATCTTAGGAAATATGTTAACCTGGGCAGACTCAAGCACTTTGTGAGAAGGTACAAGGCATCGTGGGTGTTAAGATTGCCTATTCGTTGTTCCATTCTCTTCAATTCTTCTAGTTTCTTCCTCAGAATTGTGTCAATTGCATCACTTCCCAGAGTTGTTTCATGCTAGAGGCTATTTGTTAATTAACTGAGACGATTTCACATTTGGGTTGATGTAGGATGAGTCCCATTTTCTTTCCCCATGTCAACACATGTGTAAGAAGCTCATCTAGGCAGGACTCTTTTATGCCCGCTAGTGTAACATTATCCAGGAACCAGATGCTTAGCTCACTGGTCACTGTGATTTCCCTAACCTCTATACAAAAAAGAAATGGAGCAAAAGGGTCCCCTGGTTAACACCCTCTGATGACGTGATCTCATGCTTCCAAACAGGAGTTTTGATTCCTTGCTGTATCCAGCTGAAACAAAAGGGAAAAGACCAGGAAAATGTTCTTGTACAGCCGTTAATACCAAGTCTCTTTTCAGGAGAGTAAATGCATTCTTGATATCTAATTTTACCACTGCATTGTCCTCAGGCAGGTTGTTGATATACGCCCTTGTGGCATGATCCGCTGCTTCGCTTCCCCGAGGGACCCCAAAGCCAAGCTGGTTTGGTTGAAGCATCATGGCCGCCTCTGTGCGAATACATCGGACAGGAGCTTAGGACACGAGACAGCGAAAAGTGTTACCCACTGCAATTGGCCTAATTGCACTACCCTTCTTTATAAGTGCACAAATTGATGCACCCAAAAAAAAAAAAAAAAAAAAAAAAAAAGAAAGGTTTAATTTTGCCAGGAATCAGACCAGCCAAGGAGTTGTTAATGAACCTTGTGATCTCTGAAAGCAGTGGCTCTGAAATCTCTGCCATTACTGGATTGACCATTACATTTAAATGCTGTGGCCTTATTCCAGTGTAGCCCCCAACAGAGCCAGACAGAAAGGACATAACTACTTTGCAAATGTCTGAGTCTTGCACAAACAATGGTTCCACATTGGGGGACAAGGGTGTTAGAACTGTTGGTGCGCCTAGTTTCCCTGGCAGGGTGCTGAGCAGGTTCAGCATCCCTGGGGGCAGCTGTATCTTCGCTGGTGATTATTCTGATTGTCCCCACTGTGCTGCCCTCTTCAATTTTCTTGCTTACCTGGACTCTGATTTTTATATCTGTCAGTGGAATGAGTAGGGGTTCAACCTAGCCCATTTTTGTATTGATATGGAAGGCGAATAAGATTGTCAGTTCTACCTTTACTTATTTTATCCAAAAAATACATATACATACTCTAAGAATCTGTACCTTTTGGTACATTGCTGTGAAGAGATGTAATCTTAAGTGCAAGAGTAATATTTGTATGTACGCGTATGTGCGTGCATGTTTGCTATGTGCTCAGTTAGGCTCGATTTAGAATGTTACTGAAAAAACAAATCCCTAAACAAGCTAACTTCTTAACCATAGAAGCAATATAATAGCTTGCTTAACAGTAGGACGACCCATTCGCCAAATAGCATGTTTGGCGAATGGGTAGTTTAAGCTGTGGCTACTATGAGTAGCCACGGTTGTTCAGAGCAGCTGCGAACAGTATAGAGAGTGTCTCTTGACACACAATCCCTGAAATCGTCATACATTACTAACTTTAAATAATGCTCTGTGAACAGAGCTGCACAGAGTTCTGAGATGTATGTCCTGGCTCAGTAACGGAGGCATACACTACCAAAATTAGTCTAAATAACACGAACTGAGGAGAACAGCGTTTTCCCAGACAGAACAGAGATGTTTCCTCCATGAGGATCTGTGAGGGACAGGGAAAGGCCCTGCAGATTCAACGTCTGGTGACTTCTGCCAGCTTAACACTCACAGTGCCTGCCATGAAACAAGCGAGCATGAAAGGAACATGCGAAAGACTTTGGAATAATTATGTCAGTTGACCTTTCTTTCAAAGAACACAATATGACAAAGGTCACGATAGTGAGACGGATGATGGGGTGGGTAATGAGAACCTTCAAAATAAGGGAAATAATGTCATTGGTGATATTTATCAAATCGCTCGTGCTCCCTCATTTAAAATATTGCTCAGTGTAGACGACCCCATTCGGGCAAGAGAAATATCTTAGCTGGAACAAATATAGAGATCGTTTATGGCCCATATAGAGCAAATAAAGTATTTCAATTACTGAAAACATCAGCAATATATTTTTATACGAGAGATAATATATATTCATAATAATTATGGTGTCCTTTTTCTGAGGACGCTATAGAGAAATTAGCCGAGAGAGAAAGACAGAGAGAGAGAGAGAGAGAAGAGAAAAGAGAGAGAGAAGAGAAGAGAGAGAAGGGGAGAGAAGAGAGAGAGAGTGGGAGAGAGGTGGAGAGAGAGAGAGAGAGAGGAGAGGGAAAAGAGAGGAAGGGAGAGAGGAGAGAGAGAGAGAGAGAGAGAGGAGAGAGAGAGAGAGAGAGAGAGAGAGAGAGAGAGAGAGAGAGAAAGAGAGATGGATAAGGCTTAGAAGTTTGGATGAGTGGTGGATAACAGAGGCTCATAACCGATGGGATCTGGGTTTCGTTTCCTAGCTGGGCGAAATGTGTCAAGTCTCCTGGAACAAATTTGCTGATTCTCTTCACCAAGAGATGCGTATATAATTAAGAACTAGTCATCTGTTGTGGGTGGCATCTGAGGGGCAGTACCACAGTAGCGATAACCTACACTGCTTTACTGGCTTAGGTTTTCATGGGTTATTAAGGAACACTGCTTGGCTGTCTTAGGTTATCATGGGTTATTATGCCACACTGCTTAACTGTCTTAGGTTATCATGGGTTATTAAGGCACACTGCTTGGCTATCTTAGGTTATCATGGGTTATTAAGCCACATTGCTTGACTGTCTTAGGTTATCATTGTTATTAAACCACATTGCTTGACTGTTTTGGGTTATCCTTGGTTATCAAGCTTCCGGAAATAATAACCAGTAGAAATTTTTATCGTCTTCATTTTACTCACAATATATCCTTCAATAGGTCGTCTCGCTACTTCCAGATATCTCACACCACCATCTAATATGGCACTACCATTGGTTGGCATCTTTCTTGAACACCCTCTCTCCACCACCACCACCACCACCACCACCACCTCCACCACCGCCACCACCACGACTACCACCACCACCAAGACTATCCACCACGACTATCACCACTAGCATCACCACCACCACCACCACCACCCAAGCACTATCTAACACACGTCACTCACCTGGCTGGCACTGCGTTTCATCAGTGCCATCAATGCAGTCAAGAATGCCATCACAAACAAGGCCGGGTCGGATACACTCGCCGTTGGCACAAGTAAACTCACTGTAGAAACACTTTCGATAATCTGGAGAGCAAGAGTAGAAGAGTGAGGTTATAGCCACTGTTTTGTTAGCTTTATATAGTATTGAAGCCTATCGACTAAAAGAGGATCATTAAGGCTACATGTCACCTCTTTCCCATCAATTTAGAATAAACCCCAAAACAGGGAATAAACTAAACAGTGTATATGTACTGAGAGATATACACCTCTCGGTGTATACAGTATGTACTATACTTGTGTGGCCACTCTTAGGTTTGGTTAGGTAGGTTTGTCAGGAAAAAGGACAAGTGCTTCCTAACGCTGATCTTAGTCGTATGATGACCCGCAGCTGGAGCTTGTGGTTATCTGACTGAGGCCTTCCACTGGCTTACCGGTCCACCCCTTTAAAAATTAGTCATAATTATTACTGCTAGATACTACCGTGTACCTCTAAAGTGACCACTCAGCACGACTCTCTCATATACATAATATTTTCCAGGAAACTGACTACTTCTAAATATTTCATACAACTTAACATTCCAAGGTTTAAAATATTTATTTTCATGAACCTTCATGAATATTCAAAATGTTTGATGGAATTAACCTATGCACACACACACACACACACACACACACACAAGACCTCTCCGGGTGACCATAACACCGAGCACGTCACCGGAGGCACACATCAACCAAACAACCGCTGCAACATACGGGCGCCTGGCAAACCTGAGAATAGCGTTCCGATACCTTAATAAGGAATCGTTCAAGACACTGTACACTGTGTATGTTAGGCCCATACTGGAGTATGCAGCACCAGTCTGGAACCCACACCTGGTCAAGCACGTCAAGAAGTTAGAGAAAGTACAAAGGTTTGCAAAAAGGCTAGTCCCAGAGCTCAGGGAATGTCGTACGAGGAAAGGTTGAGGGAAATCGGACTGACGACACTGGAGGACAGAAGGGTCAGGGGAGACATGATAACGACATACAAAATACTGCGTGGAATAGACAAGGTGGACAGAGATAGGATGTTCCAGAGAGGGAACACAGGAACAAGGGGTCACAACTGGAAGCTGAAGACTCAGACGAGTCACAGGGACGTTAGGAAGTATTTCTTCAGTCATAGAGTCGTCAGGAAGTGGAATAGCCTAGCAAGTGAAGTAGTGGAGGCAGGAACCATACATAGTTTTAAGAAGAGGTATGATAAAGCTCAGGAAGCAGAGAGAGGACCTAGTAGCAATCAGTGAAGAGGAGGGGCCAGGAGCTGAGTCTCGACCCCTGCAACCACAATTAGGTGTGTACAATTAGGTGAGTACACACACACACACACACACACACAAGCGCAAGTGAGGTAGGTGAGGCAGGAACCATACATAGCTTTAAGATGAGGTATGATAAAGCTCATAAGCAGGGAGAGAAAGGACCTAGTAGTGCTCAGCGAAGAGGCGGGGCCAGGAGCTGAGTCTCGACCCTGCAACCACAATTAGGTGAGTACACACACGGGCCCAGAAAGAGGGAGCAAAGGCACTGTGTTACTAACAACTATATTTAACATATCGTAACAAGGAAACAATCTGAGGTGTGGAAGACGGATAATGTAGTCCCAGTCTTTAAGAGTAGTGTCACTGACAAGCAAAGTCATGGAGATGCTTATCAGGAAAACACTGGTAAATCACCTAGAAAGGAATGAGATTATACACGAAAACCAACACGGTTTCAGGGATTGGGAATCCTGTGTCACAAACCCCCTGGAGTTTTATAAGGCGACAGAAGTAAGACAGGAGAGAGAGAGAGAGAGAGAGAGAGAGAGAGAGAGAGAGAGAGAGAGAGAGAGAGAGAGAGATGGGTAGACTGCATATTCTTTGACTGCGAGAAGGCTTTCGACACAGTTCCACACATGAGATTAGTACAGAAGCTAGGAATAACAAGAAAGATTTTACAACGGAACAAAGAATGCCTGATAGGCAGAAAATAACGAATGATGGTACGTTACGAGATTTCAGAGTGGGCGTCTGTGACGAGCGGGGTTCCACAAGGATCAGTCTTAGTGTCGGTGCAGTTTCTGGTATATGTGAATTACATGACAGAAGGGATAGATTCAGAGGTGTCCATAATGGCATACGATGTGAAGCTAATGCGGAGAATTCAAGTGGAGGAGGATCATGTGGGAATACAAAGGAATCTTGGCCAACAACTGGCTCCTGGAGTTTAACCCCACCAAAGTTATGAAGATTGGGGAAGGTGAAAGAAAACCGCAGATAGAGTACAGGCTAGGAAAAGGATCTTGGGATGAGTATAATATCGAGCAAATCTCCGAGGCACAAATTAACCAAATAACTACTGCAGCGTCTGGGCGCCTGGGAAACCTAAGAAAAGCATTTAGACACCGGAGTAATGAATCATTCAAAACAGTGTACATGTGTATGTCAGGCCCATACTGGAGTATGCAGCACCAATATGGAACCCACATCTGGTCAAGCACGTCAAGAAATGTGAGAAAACGAAAAGATTTGCAACAAGACTAGTCCAGGAACAAAGGGGTATGTCCTACAAGGACAGGTTAAGGGAAATCAACCTAACGACACTGGAGGACAGGATGAATTAAGAGGGACATGATAACGACAAATAAAATACTGAGAGGAATTGACAAGGAGAATATGGACAGATTGTGTCAGAGATGTGACACAACAAGGGGTCACAGATGGAAGTTGAAAATTTGGATGATTCACAGGGATGTTAGAAAGTATTCCTTCAGGCATAGAGTAATCAGGAAGTGGAAGAATCTGGAGAATGATGTAGAGGAGGCAGGATGCATACATAGCTTTAAGAAGAGGTGCGATGAAGCTCATGGAACAGGGTCTAGGAGCTATGACTCGATCCTTGACACCACAACTAGGTGAGTACACACACACACACACACACACACATACATACATACACACACACACACCACACACACACACACACACACACACACACACACACACACACACACACACCACACACACACACACACACACACACAATATAGTTTAGATGGCAAAGACTGCAAACCTCACTCAAGGAAAAAGATCTGGGGGTGAGTATAACACCGAGCATATCTCCTGAGGCGCACATCAATCAGATAACTGCTGAAAGTTAAGACACATGTGCAACATCTGGATATCTTTATTGTAGTAGACGTTTCGCCATCCAGTGGCTTTATCAATACAGATTCTAGGACATAATAGGAAGACAGTAGAACTATATACAAAAGATGAGGTAATCAGTCCCCGGCCTTGGAGTTAGTGTTCACAGCATCGTGGTGGAGGAGAGTCTGGAGCAAAGGCAAGAAGACTGGCGCTTTTTATAGGGCGTCAGTGAATGGGACGGGCAGCAGACGAGGGCAGTCATGGTGGGCGGGATTCCCAGTGGAAGTAGGTCCTTCCCAAAGAGATGGGTTAGTTGCAGCAGCCGTGAAGAAGGTCTTGTAGATGTCCTCTGAACCAAGATTCCATGATGTTGCAGTGTCTGACAAGTTGTGCAAGAAAGGTATAAAATACCGACAATATGAAAGTTAAGACACATGTGCAACTCTGATATCTTTATTGTAGTAGACGTTTCGCCATCCAGTGGCTTATCAATACAGATTCTAGGACATAATAGGAAGACAGTAGAACTATATACAAAAGATGAGGTAATCAGTCCCTCGGCCTTGGAGTTAGTGTTCACAGCATCGTGGTGGAGGAGAGTCTGGAGCAAAGGCAAGAAGACTGGCGCTTTTTATAGGCGTCAGTGAATGGGACGGGCAGCAGACGAGGGCAGTCACTGGTGGGCGGGATTCCCCAGTGGAAGTAGGTCCTTCCCAAAGAGATGGGTTAGTTGCAGCAGCCGTGAAGAAGGTCTTGTAGATGTCCTCTGAACCAGATTCCATGATGTTGCAGTGTCTGACAAGTTGTGCAAGAAAGGTATAAAATACCGACAATATGAAAGTTAAGACACATGTGCAACATCTGGATATCTTTATTGTAGTAGACGTTTCGCCATCCAGTGGCTTTATCAATACAGATTCTAGGACATAATAGGAAGACAGTAGAACTATATACAAAAGATGAGGTAATCAGTCCCTCGGCCTTGGAGTTAGTGTTCACAGCATCGTGGTGGAGGAGAGTCTGGAGCAAAGGCAGAAGACTAGCGCTTTTTATAGGCGTCAGTGAATGGGACGGGCAGCAGACGAGGGCAGTCACTGGTGGGCGGGATTCCCCGTGGAAGTAGGTCCTTCCAAAGAGATGGGTTAGTTGCAGCAGCCGTGAAGAAGGTCTTGTAGATGTCCTCTGAACCAGATTCCATGATGTTGCAGTGTCTGACAAGTTGTGCAAGAAAGGTATAAATACCGACAATATGAAAGTTAAGACACATGTGCAACATCTGGATATCTTTATTGTAGTAGACGTTTCGCCATCCAGTGGCTTTATCAATACAGATTCTAGGACATAATAGGAAGACAGTAGAACTATATACAAAAGATGAGGTAATCAGTCCTGGCCTTGGAGTTAGTGTTCACAGCATCGTGGTGGAGAGGAGTCTGGAGCAAAGGCAAGAAGACTGGCGCTTTTATAGGCGTCAGTGAATGGGACGGGCAGCAGACGAGGGCAGTCACTGGTGGGCGGGATTCCCCAGTGGAAGTAGGTCCTTCCCAAAGAGATGGGTTAGTTGCAGCAGCCGTGAAGAAGGTCTTGTAGATGTCCTCTGAACCAAGATTCCATGATGTTGCAGTGTCTGACAAGTTGTGCAAGAAAGGTATAAAATACCGACAATATGAAAGTTAAGACACATGTGCAACATCTGGATATCTTTATTGTAGTAGACGTTTCGCCATCCAGTGGCTTTATCAATACAGATTCTAGGACATAATAGGAAGACAGTAGAACTATATACAGATGTTGCACATGTGTCTTAACTTTCATATTGTCGGTATTTTATACCTTTCTTGCACAACTTGTCAGACACTGCAACATCATGGAATCTTGGTTCAGAGGACATCTACAAGACCTTCTTCACGGCTG